GGGCACCAAACGCGTAACCAATTCGTGGTTGGGTACTCCAATCTTATATCGAAATGAGCCAATAATAGCCAAATAATCTTCAACCGATAGAAATTTTTCATTCACATGAACGCCATCGAATTGAGCACGTCCTATCCATGATGGTAAGCCTCTGAATTTCCTATCCATTGCATCCGCTTGGGCAGATTCGTCGAATATAGTGGCTTGATTTGGTCGTGATTGTGGTAGACCAGATAGCGAATAATTCGGATATAAATGAGATGGTTGATTAATTGGTTCTTGGATATGTGACGTTCTAAGACCACTTTAGGTATTGATCGTATGAGTTTGTAAGGTTGAAGGACCACCCAAAGAACCATGCGGAGGATCCACCGAGGGTGGTATCCAGGTATAATTCCAGGTCGTTTTGTGTCTGCAACTGAATCCGATCACGGATCATTTGCTGTTGCATCTGTGTTTGGGCTCTCAGCAACTCAGACACCATTACAGACAGTTGGTGTAATGAGGGTGTTGGTTCCGTTCCGCCTGACACTGAATTGAGAACGGCTGGTTGAGCATTTGAATTGACGATACTGGTGGTCAGGGTATACCGTGGTTCAGTTGCCTGAACCTAAGTCGGTATATTCTGGTTTGGAATCGAATCTGGTATGGTTAAAGGTCTGATTATGCATACTTCGCATAACTTCGCACAACTTTTTAAACGTAACACAAGTTTATAAAACTTAAGGCTGATTATGCTTCGCATAAAACCAAATTTATCAGTACTACCAACCTTATACATCGAAGCAATAGGGTTATTCACGGTGTGTGAACAAAAACAGCTGATTGTTGGTTTCTTTAGGTAAATAGATTTGTTTACAGAAAAATTCATTTAAGAGGTTTTAATGGAGTATGTTTGTAGTCCAAATTAAGTTTTTTGCAGTTCGACATAATTTTCAATACAATATCTGTCAAAATACGTAATTAATTACATATATTAAACGCTATATTTACTAGAGAGTATAAAAATACCTTTCATTTGATATATAATATTATATAGATAGGTTTAATGACAACTGCCAACAGCGAAATAAAACAACTGTATTGATACTTTAATATAAAATAAAAATTTTTAATAAAAAATTACACGATATTTTCTTCCAAATGTTCGCCTGCCGAGCTTTTTTTCTTTTAACTTATCATATTTTAATATTTTTAGTGATATTACCAACGATTTTTTTATTATAATTCATATATTTAAAGGTTTGTATATGCTCTTTCTTATCTTGTGCATATATTTTAATAAAGTTAGTTACGTACTTTTTTAAGAAAAACAAATTTGTAATAAAATAGGTTTTATTTTAATATTACATCAAACGACTTTTAATTACTTTTTCAATCATATCCATACTTTGAAAATTGGTTAAAAACTTTTCAAAATATAAGCTTTCGAAAATATTGAAAATTCCACGCTTACCGTACGTGAACTCCCCTAATACGCTTTCCATGCATCTCTGTAAAAATATTGCTATTGGTACCACTGCAATTGAAATGTCACTTAAGAAAACGTGAGGCAAAATCTAAACTCAACAGATCGCTAATTTTTTACAAGTTCTGCTAATTTCTGAGTAATGGAATACATACAAAATGCATTCAACAGATCTTCAACTGACAGTTTGAAATTTATGCGAAGTTATGCGAAGTATGCATAATCAGACCATAAGGGTAAATATTGTGATGGAACAGTATTTTGAGTTGAACTCATCGTTCCCCGTTCATTCTCAAAACCATGGTAGGTCGAGTTCAAACTTAATTGGGGATCGCACGTCGGGATTCCCGTATTCGGTGAAGACATCCGAAGCTCACGAATTTCCGACTCATATTTTCCGATCAGATCTGCCTGGCGTGACGCCGACTCGGGTTTTAACTTCAACCGAGCGGTTCGATAACAATAATGTATCATTTGATGAAGACGACCCCGAGGTGTTAACACCTCATTCGCCTTCAGTTCCCGATATGCTCTCTCACATATTTCCAACTCATTCATTTGGTGTATGGCATGTGATTTTATCAACCATGGTTGGCCAACGTAAGCAGATATTTTACCATTGAGGGCGGCTATTTCACTGTCGGTCCATTGAACTGGCGCTGGATATAGGTTATATATCTCCCCTTCGATCTGTCGCTGTTCGTCTGTCAAATAAGTTGACCGCGAATGGGAAACAATTCCATGTTCAAAGACTCAAATACCAAGTTGTAAATTCCGATTATTAAAAAATTCTGCCAACGGTAGACGTAAAGTCCGTGCTATTAAAGTCTATGTTATAAGATGATGGTACTCGATTTAAAATCAGTACAGTATTTACTTCAGTTTATTATTTATTATTATTATTATTTTATTCTATGAGTATGTCGTTTTGAATATCCACTTTCAAAAATAATGCCGCATAAATCGATCACTATTTGAATATTGCTTTCAATCTAATTAGTTTAACAAAAAATTCCCGCTCAATTGGTTGTATATCTCATGTGATTTTCGGTCCAAAATTTTGTTTAATATTATACCGAACGTGGGCTGAGAATGACGTTTAACGCACTACCTCGATTTTTTTTATGGACCAAGTTGATTACTCCCGGGATGCAGCGAAGGCCTTGATTACTTGGGAGAATTAACTGTATCTCCTTCGGTCCCTTCTGTCGCCAACAAGGTACGCAACAAAGATCAAGACTATCCACCCCCGAATTTACCGGAAGACCAAATCAGACTGAGAATATTCAACCAGTTTGAGAATGTTAAACGAGATTAATTTGATACGATTTTCAAATATTATTGGGAATGAATACCCAAAGAAATGACAAAAATAAAGAAAATTAATAGTTTGGTTCAATTAATATTGACCGTGTTATCGGTTACGTAGCTTGAACTTATACCGAAAGACGAAAAGAAAAATGATCAGTTCAAAAATCTTGACCGTCGATGTGTGGTGTTACTTGATTAAAATATTCAATTAACTTGCTTTTCAGAATTGGCGAACTGAACTGAACGAGAATGGTTATGACTGCTGATCAATGGTGTTCGCATCGCAGATCGATCACCATTCACCCCCGCGGAATTAAATAATCAAAATATCCCCAAAAATTTTGATTGAAAACGAGCTCCAATAAAAATCAATTAAATCATGCCGTGTGAAGACTGAGGACGATATTGATTTACAGTGATTATGAATTCAAAAGATAATTATTTGATTCAATCTCAATGATGATTTATAATAGCAGAATTTCTAAAAGAAAAATTTATCAAAAATCTAATAAACTCGAATATGTATAGTTCACCGACGTACAATTTTGCGACCTACAAAATGAGAAAACGACTAAAAGGTTTAAATTTTTCCTTAAATATAATTTTATGATGTATCAAATTGATTCGATGATGAAATTGCTATTTTCCCTCAGCTGAGCACGCGGTTATTGTATGCCGGCTTAAGTGTGGTTATGTTCAACGAAAAATTATTATTTTTCACCCGTTTAGTTGGTCGCCAATGATTTGCTTGACCTTGGTTTGTCGGTCCAAACAGGAATCTTTATTTACGGTTAATGGATAGCTCGTTTCCAATGGATGGTGGCAAGAAAGTGGCTGACTTACGTGTAATGATTTTGTATTATCGGCTTATGGTGACTCAATTGCTGTCAAATGAATAGTCCCGATTTGATGCTCACAACTTCTTTATTCTACGCAACAACATGGCTGGGGATTTGCCGGAAGGAATGTGACGGCAACTTTTGCCTCTAGTAATTTCCACTGAGGGGTGAGTATCGACTCCCCGAATGTCGCCAGCTTTTAATACAAGCTTTTAATCCACTTTAATTACTTGGTTGTAATTCCGTTCTTGCCAGTACTGATGAGTGTGGTTCGCTCCGTTTCCAATTCCAAAAAGCAAATATATTTTTCTCGCCTCGTGGTATGTGATCACCGATTCTTTTATCGTATGTCAGTATGTATATTTATTATACTAAAATTGAATGGGCTAAAAACTAAAGAATATTAATAAAGCTCGAAATTTTTACGAAAGTATTTTGGTTTTTGGAAGTTTCGCAAAGATTTAATCTTGGGTTTATACAGTTTTTCTTAAAGAATATATTATATTTTATAAACAGATAATTAAAATTAAAGAATAATAAAATAAATAGTAAAATCTTGTCAATATGTGAGTGCCGTAAAGGTATTATATTTAAGAAAATCTCTTCTTATAACTAACGAAGACTTTGTTTCTATATGAAGCTGACTTCGACATTTTGTTTTAATAAAACTTAGTATCGAAAAGTTTCTTTAAAAATTTGCCTAGGCTATATTATACTGGTTCGTTCAAGCCATTTTTCAAAACTTACAAAGGCAAATACGAACAGGCGAACAAAAGAGAATACAAAAAATTTCTTGCTGTGAATTTTCAGAGCTATATATTTTTAGTATTCAATACAAGATTTTACTAAAAAGTACTGCGTAGTAGGAAAGTATATTGTAAATGAAATTGTTCAAACAAGTACAATTGTACCAAAAATGCCAACACTGTTCTGTATACATATTTATTTTTATTTTTTAATTTTTTACTCTTCGCTAAAGCACTTCTACCAACGCTTGGCTTACCAAATTTATGCCAATTGATAAAATTTTGCGATTTAAATACATTTTCAATAATGTAAATAACGATTCGTGTTGAATCGAAAATCGCCTCGTCTGAATAGGGAAGGCAACTTTTTCACTTTCAACTTCTCATTCAACTTCGTATTCAACTTTTGTTGCCTGTAAAATCGTCGCGTGCGAATGCCCTATAAAACTATGTTCCCATTAGCGTAATTTAGAGGTCAATCTTAATTTACGCATAAATTAAGTACAAACTAAGTAATTTCGCCTTGTAAAGTCTCTCAGTAAATTAAGTTGAAAGTACGTAGTTTATCTTAAACCAAGAACCAAATCACGAACAAATCTGTGTCGGCTCTAATTTTATCGATAATAATCGAAAAAAGTATTGTCCCATAACTCATATGTCATTTTGTTTGGACGATTTTGTTTTTAATAAACAACTAAAAATGGAAAAGAAATTTTACAAAAAAAGAAATTTATGGGGAGAAGGAAGTGAAAGTCTCCTTATAGATGTTTGGAGAACAAAAATTGATGAGCTGAGAGGTGTTCGCAAAAACAGCCACATCATGGAGAAGATGGCGTTGGAGTTGCAGGAGCTTGGGGTTATGTGCACTCCAAGCGAAATAAAAACGAAAATGCACAATCTGACGGCGAGATATAGGTGAGACTTGACTCCATTATTTAAATAAGATTTTTTTTATCACACGATATTTCAATTCAGGAAGGAGAAGAAAGAAATCGGACCATCGGGTGGGGCACCTTCTAAATGGCCTCTTTATATGGAGATGCATCAGCTTTTAGCACCGTACAAAAGCTACAATTCTGAAACCCTGGTCGAAGAGGGCACAAATGGTGAGATGCTTTGCATTTTAGGCCCCTGGGAAAACCTCCGAGTATATTTCTGACATGAAAAAACCGCTTCTCATAAATATATTCGCCGTTCCGAGTCAGCGTAAAACTGTAGGTCCTTCCCTCCCCTTTGTGTGACAACACCAAGGCGCACGCCACGAATCGGAGGAGAAGCTCGGCTGAAAACTAACAAATTACGTTAGAGCCAATCTATTATTATCAGGTATGTTCTGCAAATGATTTCAAATCGGTGCGATTTGCAAATTATTGTTGTAGGTATATTTGAAATCAAATTATTAAATGTATCAAATGGAAACTGCTAAAAACACATCCTTTACTTTATAGCCGTCGTTTTACTGCCAAATGTTTCACTCTTTTGTTATAAATCCTCCGAAATAGATTTCGTAAATCGCGCCGATTTGAAATCATTTGCAGAACATACCTGTATGTTATTATTATCAGTTTATTTTATGTCAGAATCATAAACATTAACAAATACAAATTTACCTTTTATATGAATGCGTGAACATTTTATTTAAAAATGTTATAATATTGTTGTACAATCAACCGATTGTAATGAAGGAGCACCCTAACACCTTCTCTGCTTTTCAACTTTCTTGGTACTGCAAAAAGAAAGTGGAGAAAAGAAAAACATTACAAATTCAACAGTCACCGCGCGCACACGGGAAAACGGCCACCGGAAA